GAAAAATCTGCTGAATCTGATCCCCATCTGTACAATATAGTCCTAGTGTCACTGTGACCGAGGAACTACTGGATAAAATTTCACTCTTTTCACAAATAAAGGTCAAGTTTAGGCAAATAACTTCCTTTTCTTACTTCATACCCCAGGGGACTTCAGCAAACAAGTAGTATTCTTTGATTTATTGTGCTCTGAAGAAGGTTAAAGTTTTCAATTTTTTTTCGTGTTTTTGTATGGCAATTTTCCATATAAACATATGAATTTCTTTTTTTTTTTTTGTACCAGGAATTGAACTTAGGACCTTGCACTTGCCAGGCAGGCACTATGCCACTGAGCTATATCCCCAGCCCCCAACATATGATTTTCTATAGTTATAATTACACTGTGGCGCATACGTATTTTAATTGTTTTCACTGAAGTTTACATCATAATTTTTCCATGTTGCTGTTTTGTTTTCATCATCTCTTTTTCTAAATAGTACTATGAAGATTGGTTTTTATTTGCATTTGCAGCACTGGGAATTAAACCCAGGGCCTTCATACTAAGCTACAACCCCAGTGCTATTGAAGACACGGTCTCACTAAGTCACTGAGTTACCAGGCTGGCCTCAAACTTGTGATCCTTCTGCCTCAGCTTCCCAAATTGCTGGGATTACACACCGCCACCACCAAGCCAAGCACAGAACTTTTGTTTTTTTAAACATATGTAGAAATCTTTCAAGATATTTAAAAATAAAGATTTCTTTTTAAAATCAGGTAGCTTTGGTTCCACCTCTCCTGACCATGGATCTAGTTTTCAACACACTAATGACTATCCATTGCTCAGGTTGGCATCCAGTCCTTCACAGTGGCTTCAGCTAACTTAGACATTTGCAGTGAGGTGCATTCTAGAAACAAAAGTAGAGTGTTTTGCTGTTCTGTGAAAAGGGTGAATGTGATGACCAAGTATCAACCTTCCCATGATGGAGACAAGGAGGAAAATAGCACCAGAACTCTGGCACCATCCCCTCTTCCATCAGAATAACTGGAGCTGGAAAGACAGGTTCCTTTCTCCCACCGGCTCCTGACTGACCATTCCAGTCAGGAGATTGGAATTCCAATGCACTGGACCACCTTGTTCTTGGTACCACTTGCTACAGATATACTTGGGTCCACCCTGCTCCAAAGCATTTGCCTTTAGAAACCTGCAAAATACTGCCTAGAATCAATTACAATGGATTTGTCCTTATTGCTATCTTTTCTAGTTCTAGCAGCCTCTGAATCAAGGAACAATCATTCTCCATCTGGGGGGTGGGAGGAAGTCTTTAACAAAATCCATAGGTTCTGGTGGAGAGGTCAAGTCAGCCAGATTTGGCAAACTAAACCTGGTGATCCCCGAGAAAAGTGTAGCTTTGGCAGCTGTTTTACAATCCTGTCCATCCATTCTTAGGTACCGCCAGGGACACTCAGAGAATTTAGGTCAAACCAGCCTCCAAATCCACTTATGTTCATTCCTTTCTTCCAGGCTCCTGCAGGCCAGTCTTGGGAGTGCTCATATCTGCAGAAGTATGCCTATGCTTCATGTGGCTTCAGAATGTGTGTATCTCTGGTTGTGGAATATGGTTAATGCTTGTTCTGCAAAACTATCAGGGGAAAAGGAAAAGAATATTTTAGGGAAGCATGCTGTCATTCCACCTACCCATCTGGCGGACTCTCTCATTTTAAGCCTCATTTAAAAAAAAAAAAGACTTTGAATAGCTATGCTTTTATGATTTAAATGGACTTTCAAACTGGGATTCAACCATCTGATAGAGCAAAGTGGGTAGACTTCAGTCTTCAGAGGGAAAAGAATAAACAGACTGAAAGCTGTAATTAAAATTTTCCACTTTCCTCCAACTCTTTTAAAGCAATTACTGTCAGACTTGAAATCTCCAGTGCCCAAATGACCTTTGCAAAGAGTCTACAGTGAAGGGTGGGTGAGGCAGTTGAAATCGGTTTAGAAGAAACTAAACTGGATGGGCGTATTAATGCTCTGATATGTATTAAATTTAAAAATATGTCCATGGCTGGACAACAGAGATCATCCACTATCTTTGAGCACAGATGAAGAAAGTAACTTCCAGAAGCCTCTGCTCCCCCGAAGGAAGGTCCAATGATCCTGGCAAAAGGCTGCAGCTAGCAACTGTGCCCAGAAGCAGTTGCTGAGAAGCATGTGAATGTGTGAAGGCGTCGTATGCACACCTGTAATCCAGCACACTGGAAAGCCAAGGCAGGAGGCTGGCAAGTTTGAGCCCAGCATGGACAATTTATCAATATAGCGAGACCCAGTCTCAAAATAAAAAGTAAAACAGACTGAGGATACAGCTCATTGGGCAAGGCCCTGGATTCAGTCCCCAGTACCACTGGCTTAAATCCCTCCAAACTTTTCCCATCATGGCACTGATTGAGTCTTTGCGCTGTCATGGTTCCTCTGGCCACCGGAGCCCCTTGAAGCACTTTTCTCAGGCCTCTTATTCAGCAGTCACTCTCACTGAGGGTCCCTTGCTGGGTTGGAACCAGTCACACCCGGCTGGGTGGCCTTTGCATTTGTTGTCCAGGATTACATCCCCACCACCATGACAGATGCTGCCCCAGATCTTCTGTATGAAACCGTAGCACTCCACACCCTGTCCTCTTTGGGGGACTTGGAAGGTCTCCTAAGGCCTGTGCTCATCTGATTTACACTTGCATCGCTCTCACGCTCCCCTTCTGCACCGTGAGCTGTGCAGAGCTAGATGTTTGTTTCTGCTTCTGCTGTGGCCTCCATTCCTGCAACAATGCCTGACATCCTGTAGGTACTTAGTATCTGTGGAAAGAAGGGAGAAGAAATGACCAAATTCATCATGATGCCACTGACCAAGGAAGAGAGATTGGTTTTTTTCCAGGGCTGGGGGATTCCTTCTGGATGTCAAATCTGAAGTGATGGAAGGATTTCTTCAGTGACATGTTGTTTACAGACACTTGGTAGTTGATAGAAAGGAAAGTAACGCCAAGGATTCAAATCCAAAGAGGAAAAGCAGGATTAAAACAAACCCATCCAAAAATTCAGGCCTGGCTTCACAAGTCACCAGTGATCAACGCACTAAATTCTTCAAATCAAACTTTACTATCTTTCACTACACGTTTATCTTTCGTTCATGTTTCAAATAGGCTCGAAAACCTCCACAGGCCGCAAGGACAATAAAATGTTTGCGGAAAGTGTGTTCGCAGACAGTATAATAGGCTGGCCATCTACTCTGTGACTTGACTTTTCACAGTGAGGTAGCAAGGCGCCCCAGGACTCCCCAAGTCCATTTTCCAAGCCTCTCCAAAGGGAAAGGAGTTCCAGAGAGGGCGCCACCTGCAGCCTAAACCACTTCCAATGCGCAGTCCCTGCCCTTTGGATCCTCCTAATCAGAGAGCTAAGAACAGACAGGGTTGCGCTGGGCCTGTGGGAAAGGGGAGGTCTTGCGAGCTGACTTTTCCCCCAGTGAGTAAAAGTCTGGATGACCTCAGCTGGGGAGGGATCCTGGTGTTTTAGGTTATGGGACTTCCAAATTAGGGCTGTGTACCTCACTTCCCCAATGAGGATCCTAGGAAATGATCTGATCCTTCTCTAGCGCCGTCTGCAAACTCGTTCGTTTAGCCCAAGACACACGTTCTGCCTCCGCGGCTGGAGGCGCTGGCCCCGGAGATCCTGTCTGCCCCAACGCAGCTTCCGCCTCTCGGGCGTCTGTGAAAGCTCTCGGGGGCGCACGCGGTAGTCCACTGCTCATTCATTCCACAAATATTTATTGAGGGCCCGCTGAGTGAGAGGCGCTGGGAGTGCCCGGAGGCAAGGAGCAACTCTCCCGAGTTCCTGCTCCTTTGCCGGGCCAGGGCGCACGGAGGGGGCCCAGCCCGAGCACCCCGACCGCCGCCGCCCGGCTGTGCCCAGCGCCCGCAGCGCAGCCTC